AAAGGGGAGGGGCACACATGCACACGTGGACACACACAGGCACATGCACACGTGGACAAGGAACACCCACACATGGACATACATATGTACGCACGGAGACATGCATGCATAGACACAGATGTGCGCATACACATGGACATGCATGCACAGCCACACCTGCAATACTCACATGTGCACACATGCATGAACACGGACATGCATGCACACACACATGGACATGCTGCGAACACGCTCACACAGTCATTCACACGCGTGGACAGCTGTGCGTTGGGATGTTTTGGGAGCGAGGACAGCAGGGCTGTAGGGTCGAGGTAGGTAGCGGCCTTACTTGTTACTCCACTCTTCTATTTCCTTTGGATTTTTTTTTTTTTAAATCAAGAGAGTGCATTACTTTTTCTATTAGAAAATGTTTACGGAGAGCGACGCCTTCTTTCTGGCCGGTGGAAACCAGCATGTTTGTGTGTTTCCACGTCGATGGGGACGGAGCCAAATAACGTCGAGTCATTTGCTTTCTCCTGTTCTCAGGGACTCTCCCCAGTCGCCCACGAGGGTGCAGGTGGCGGGCGGGGCCGGCGCAGCTTCCCCAAATGTGAACGTTCCCCTCTTCTGTCTGGGGCAGGCTTTGCAGGGGCGGTCAGAGTCGGGACACTCAGAGACGGGACACCTGGAGACGGGACACCCGGAGACGGGACACCCGGAGATGGGACACTCAGAGACGGGACACCCGGAGACGGGACACCCGGAGGCGGGACACTTGGAGACGGGACACTCGGAGATGGGACACCCGGAGACAAGACACTCGGCTACCATTTTGTTTTTAGGAACTCGACGCTGAAAATAATGCAGCTTTGGGGGCAGAACATTGCAAAACCAAGACACAGGTATTGTCCCTCTGTGACCTTTAGCTCGATGCATAGACAAGGGGTCATGTTCTCATCAACTGGTGTTTACGGAGCTTCTAACAGCCACAGGGGCTTCTTCTAGTATCTCGTGTCCATTTTCACTCAGAATCAAAAAAGAGTGCTCTTCAACAAGCATGACAGAGAGGGGTCATCTGTCTGGCATGCGGGTGGAGTCCAGTAACACTTCCTGAAGGAAAACGTCCCACTTACTTCATCCCGGCGGCCCCCACATTCTCCTGTCATTTCTTCTGAGTCTGCAGAGTCCTGCCGGGGAACACGGGGAGGGCAGAGCTCAGACACCGTGTGCAAAAGGCGCTTAGCGTGGCTTTTAACGAGGGTGACACATTGTAACATTTTCCTCGTGGACAGGTGGTGCATTTCATTTTCCCGGAAATACTTGAAAGTTCAAGGTTTTGTGGGGGAGACGTACAGAATGCCTTTATAAATGGGAGACCAGATGGCGGTGCTGAATTTGTATTCGATAGTGAAAGTAAAGGGTGTGTGTGTGTGTGTGTGTGTGTGTGTGTGTGTGTTTAACTGTAGGAAAAAGTCCAATGAGTTGGATGACCCGTCCATTTGCTGTTCACGAACGGGGTTCCATTCTGCAATTTTTCTCGAGTTCTGTTTTGTCGGTATTAATTTGAGAATAGGCTCCAGAATACACCATGTAATTGAAACTTGAATAGTTTTGAATTCTGGGACAATTTCCCTCCAAAATCACACTGTTCTTTTCCTATGATTTCTGTGTTTCTCACACGCTGAGCATCTGCTTTGTGTTAACCGACATGATACGTCCATAAATAAGAACAGGAGCCATTGGTACAATATTTTATTTTAAGCTTTTTCCATCATCAAATGACAGGAGGCAACACTTTACGTTCTTTTTGTACGTTCACTGTGCCATCTGTGGAAATCGTGCTGAGATCTTTGTATTTTTGTCTGCCGGGTTTAAATGATTGCCCAAAGTCGCCTGTTTTAACATCGAATTTGGTAACTGAAAAGGCTGAAATTAATTCTCTTCTGTGTTGGCTGGCTTTGGCTCTCAAAACAAAAGCTAAAAATCTCTCTTATTGATTAAGTCCAGAAGCAATCATTCTTTTCCCTGATATACAGAACACTGGCAAATGTATCAACCTTCATTATTCCTCATTGAAATGAATGCCTTTGGATTTGTAATCATATTGTCTAATACAAGTAAACAGCCCATGCTATTTGCATATTATATGAAGAAATGTCATACAACAAACTCACAGCATCAATTAACATAAAAGCTCATTATATCTCTCATCAACTTACAAGAGTTGCTGAATCCATTTTCCTCTCCTTGTAGCCCAGAGCCAAGGGGGGTGGCGTTTTCACTTCTAAATATTGACTTTTAACGCATATCAGGGGTGATTTCAATATTTTTGTGGATGAAAAGTTAGTGCTTAAACTAGAGGCCATACTTGCGATGATGCAATTAAATTTCCAACATGAACTAACCCTCCAGAAAGAAAATCTTCGCCCCTGTGTGAAATTAATTACCGGTCACTCAGCAACTGGTTTTTTTAGCCGAAGGACACTCCAAAATGACGACAAAGGTGAGCGAGCTTCGCCTGAGACGGCCACGCTATTCTGAGAAAGACAGAGCACAAGGACCCCTTCCAGGTGCAACTGCGGCATAATTGTATTCCTGCCGGGCTATCAAGCAAGAAATTTTCGACAAGATCAACAGAGACACAGTGATGAAGAAACACGCACTGCCCCGTAATTGACTGTTATTGAAGGGCTGTGCTGGAGGTCTGGAATCCCGCCCCAACCCCGGCTTTCTAGGGGAACCAACACTTCCAACTGCCTGTTTCCGTTTTCAAGTTGGGATGGAGGACCTCCTCCCACCCCCGTGTCATCGCACACGTAACAAGCACATGGTCAGAGAAGCCTAAAGGGGGGGAACCACTACGTACACTAAGTGCGATTTTGAGCCACAGAGAGGTTTCGGACCGCGAGAAGTTAGGGTTTTCTTGGATCAGGGCGCTCCGAGGACGCAATGGAATGATCACGGATCCTTGTTCCGTTTATAACTGACACCAAGCGAGTCCTTGGGTAAAAGGCAGAGCTCTAAGAAAACCGTTGAGGCTGTCTCCCGCATACAATGATGGCGGCCTTTCGATTCATATTTTAATGAGGTTGCTACCTCCGGGCCAGTCTGCAACCGTCCCCTAAGTTTACAATGGGAGTCGCTTTATTGACAAGTACTATTCAAAATCTTCATGGAACAGAGAGAAAGACTTAGTTTTATTCCACTTGTGCTAATACTTATTGCTCTCTTATAATGAAACCATTGGGAGGGGAGAAAAAGGCTCGATTCTTCTATGAACAATCTTTACATTTACTGAATGTAGTTCAGCTAAGTGGAAACATTGCAGACTCGAATAATACGCGTTTTAATAAATATCTGAAGAGCTGCAATGTAGACGCATCTTTTCCTTACATTTTTTTTTCTTGCGAAATTGGATGCTTTAGGATTTTAATTTCTTTTTGATCTTCTGTAAAAAAAAACAAAAAAGAACTTTACTAGTCTCAATCTGGGTGTTTTTCCTTTCTTGTTTTTAGTGAGGATTGTAATGTAGTATTTTCAGAGGTATCTGCCAACAAATATTTTCTACTATTAAAGAATATTTACTCAAAAGAGCCGGCTAATGACATCAAAACGCCAGTGAGTCTTCAAAGACTTATAAAATTCACGTGTTGATCCCTTGATAGAACACATTTGTGTTAAAACGTCGAACGTGTCAAATTACACTTTTAAAATAAGAACAACGGCTCGACCTGGTGGAAAGTTTTAGTGGTGTGGACAGCCTTTCCCACGCCGGCACCCTGATTTGCTCGGACCTCATACGCTCAGCAGTTTTGCAGAGGGCTCAGACCGGTGCTGAGTTTTACAAAAACAATTCCGAGAGTAGCCTCAACAAAACGTGAAATCTTGGGAAGTATTAGGACAGGGTTCAGTGACAAAGTCTCTAAAGCCAGGCAGACGCTGGCCCTCTGTGCCCCCCCTCCCCAAGTGTTTACTTTTGTGATTGGGGAGGGAGGAGGGAAGGAGGAGAGAATGGGTTGATTACTGTTAGATTTTTAAAAGGAGACGGTCTTTCTTCTCTTTGAAGTAAAATGCTGCTCTGTTGACATGCAGGAAGTACTAGGAATGTATTTCATATGTATCAGATAAGGAATTATATACTAAAGCGCAAGGTGCAGGAGAAACAAAAATCCACTCTGAGCATTCTGCTTCATTGTAGTTTAAGAATCTGCTTCAGTGTATCGTCTTTCCAGCCCCAACATGTATTTAATCCTTCGTTTCTGTAAGTAAAACAACACCACGTTCAGTTTGTCTGTTCCCGGATGCATTGTTTTTACCAACGTAGATGCCCCAGTGGTATCCTCAGGGGTGTAAGTCAAGTCGGCTTGCGCCTGGGCACCCTCAACCACCCCCTCTCGGGTCTTTACCGCGGACGTGGGGGGAAATGAACACACTCGTGCGTTTGTCAAAACTTGATATTTCAGCGACTAAATGAGGCGGCGTGTTCCGATCTCAGAAACGAGGTGATTGCAAAACTGAATGCGCGCCTTGGGCAGCAGTGCCAAATGCATCCGAGGTCAGGCTTGGGGGACAAGGAGGGACATTGTTCCCGAGCACTCGGGTGGGGCCGCTGAAAGTCAATTAGCGGTGTTTTCCTTCTGCCCTTTCTCCTCTTCCCAAGCTTCTTTGAAGTTGTTTTTTTTTTGGTTTGTTTATTTATTTATTTATTTTTACAAAGTTGATTCCTTAAGAGACAGGGGCGACAGGGGCGGCGGGGAGTGGGGTGCCCGCGGCCGGACCTCGGCAGGGGCGCCGCCCGCGCTGGCTCTCGGCGCGTCCCCCGCGCGGCCGTGTGACTCGCGTCCAGATGGCGGCGAGGCGCGGAGACCCTTTGTGCGCCCGGAGCGCGCCTGTAAAAGCCGCGCGGTCGCCGGCACCGGAAGGGTTCCCACTGCGTCTGAAAGGGGACAATGGGCGCTGCAGAGAGCAACATCGCAGAAATCGAGACCATTTGTAATTCAGCCCCTTTCACCATGGTTGTCATGCAAACTTCCTACTTTGATCAGCGGAGGGTGGAGAGGGCCGCGCGGCGTCCGGGCGCCCTTGGCGGGTCCCCGCCCCCTTCCGGAAGGAGCCCTGGACCAGCCTCCTGCACCTTGACCTGTCTAGACGGCCCCCAAGTTTTTTGTCTCCGTTACCAAGGGCGAGGGGTGCTCTTTGACCCCCGCGCGGGGCGGAGGTGGTGGCCAGAGGGTCCTCTGGCTCCTCGCTGGATTCCGGAGGGACAGGGGCGCATGGCGACTGGCACCAGCTGTCCCTCTGTGTGCCCGCTCCACTCCGCGCTGGGGCACTCCGCGGTGCGGGGGCCGAGGGACGCGCGAGGACAAACTTGGGGCTTTGCCTAAGTTCTCTGAACTGAGGGAGAGTTCTGGAACCAAACAAGAGCGGCCGTCTCTCCTCGCTCCTCTCCTTTTCTCTCCTATCTTCATCTCCCCCTCCTCTTCCTCCTCCATCTGCCAAGTAGACGGGTCATAGCCAGTTTCTGAGCCTGCGACCTAATTCTGCATGTCCCATAACTTTTGCATATGGTCTGTGTAAGTACGGGCTCCACTTTGACTGTCTTTTTCTGCCCGCTTTCAAACACGTTTTTTAAAAAACCAGACTTGACTGATGTAAATGCTACAATCGCACACACGCTAGTAGAGGAGGAACTGAATGTGGGTGCGCTTTCCTTGGGGTGGGGAGGGGTTCCCCGCGCTTCCACGGGAGCATCTTTTAAATAACTTTCCCATTAAGAGGAGTTTCCTCCCGCGTTTTTCCGGACAGATTCCCTTGGCCCAGTCGGAGGCCTTCCTCGCGGACCCCCTGGACCCGTGCGCGCGGATGAATGACCACACGCTTGAAGAGGACCCTGTGACCTAGGAGAAGACCCTGTGCCAGCGATTTGCTGCAAGGAAAGGACACAAAATATACAAAGAATTTTGAAAAGTCTTTTTTCACTCTGAGGCTTACAGACCTTTGAAGTTCGCGGTAAGCTCTCTCCCCAGACAAGTTCTATGCTCCCTGGGCCCTCTCCGGCTTTTCTTCTTTTTTTTCCTTTTTGCTATTTGTTTCGTTGTTGTTGCGTTTCAAGACGTTGAAGATTAAAATGCTGTTTGCTTGGTTGCCCTGCCCTGTTCCCAGAGGTGACCGAGGGGGCTGAGTATTTTATCTCAATGGAGACAGTTAAGTGATATTTTCTAGAAACTTCTGTTACAAATCCCAGTGACTTTAAGACATAGTTTCCACGTTGCTTTGCTCCTGTGGGGACTGGGGAGGCGTCTCCTTGGGTCTTCTTGCAGAGGTAGGTCTCTCAAAGGTCCCGACCCAAATTTAAGTGAATGTTGTTTTTCAATACATAAGGCCAAGTGGCCAGGAAGAGGGGTGCAGCCCATTCTTTTACTCCCCTAAGGTTTCACTGGAGGGAAAATCCCCCCGCCCCCCAGTTAATGCAAGTATTTTAGCACAAACTAAGTTAAACAAAGGCTTGGGTATGATAGTTGGCTTAGTGCCACAGTCTCTCCCAGTATAATGTTTATTTTGCACGCAGGCTGGCCTCTGGCTTGCTGGAATTTGCCTGGCAAACTATGTTGCAATATAGTTCACTTTACTTAATGCTGTTGAATCAAAGCAAGAGAGAGCCTGAGAGAGCCTGTTTAAAAATAATGTATTAAGTTCACGCATTGGCCAAAATGTTAGGCATGCCGAAACCCTGAAATGAGGGCTTTAGCTGACTTTTGAAGGTTTCATTTTAATTAAAAAGTAAAGGCAATACTTCAGGGTTAGAAGGACTGTGGACTAGAAATGGCATGAAGTGTGCTTGCGTCTCACAGGTTCAAAATACACACATTGTCGTGGAATTTAAATATTTTTGAGTGCCATGTGAAAATTTCGGAGTCTTGCTTAATGACCTTGGGCCACGAGGTACACGTCTCTAGCGAATGACCCTCCGTGGCGTCGCGGTTCCTGAACCTGTAACCTCGTGGCTCTTGAAGGCGGACGGACTGCAGTTAGAATTTGAGCTTTGCACACACAGACAAATGTCAGCTCTGCTTCTGCTGAAAAGTCAGATTTGGGGGGGAAGCGAAGTGAAATTACGGCCGGGTCTCTCCGTGGTGTGGAAAGAAAGTTCCCTGAGTAGCTGTCAGGCACGTTATCCACAGTGAAATTAGGGATGCAAATGTTTTTGATTGCTGAGAGAGCGTAATTGTTTTCACCCTGCAAGGTTCTGCTTTAAACCCACAAAATGGATTATTACGTTAAAGTGCAAGGAAACCGGTTTAACCATTTCAAGGAGCAGGCTTTTTTAAAAAAAGTTCTAAAACAGCTCTCCCCCTCCTCCCCCCCAAAAAAAACCCCCAACAAAAACAACAAAGACTTTTCAGCCCCTTAAGTGAGAAACACATTTCTTCCTTTTTCTCGCATTCCGGTTCAAGGGAAACAAATACCAGGCACCGTTCTACTTCCTCACGGGCCATCTTTCAACGCGACTAATCAGTTAGTTAAGTCCCAGGAACACGATGCCATTCACATGCTGGGGAGAGGGTCAGTCTGGGGCGAGGAGGTCCGGAACCAAAAGGGCTGGTGAAAAGGGACCGCGGTGGTCACCAGGTTTTGTATCTTTAGCTCCTTGGAGTCTGATAGGATGCCCTGGGCGTGTGTGTCTACCCACACGTGTTTTGTCTCTGCAGTGCAAACGCGTAGTGGAGGAGGATGAGGACGAGGTGTGCTCCCTGACGGCCCAGGAGGCACCGTACCTCCCTGCCCAGCAGTGCGGTGAGCAGTCAGGTACTGTGTCTGATGTGGAACATGCACCCTCGCGCTCGCCCGCCCCTCCTCCCACGCAGCATCGTGGCAGCTTGTTTCCGCGCCGAGGGGCTCCCGGCCACCACGGGTGCTTCTCCACTGAATCAGAAAGACACCCCGGAGAGCAGACGCGCGAGCACCACCGCTGGGCCGTCTGCACCTCCTGCCCCCACCTTGCAAGGCAATCAGAGAACGTGATTTGCGATTGATCAGGAGCACAGGCTCCGTCAGAGTTGGGGGGACCCAAAGCACTTTATCTTAAACTGTGCGAGATTGAAAGTCTTCCTCCTCGACCAGGAAAGGATTCCCTCTGACATGCTTAGTACCCACACCAACGTGTGTGTGTCTGTCTTTATTCAGTAAAGCGTTTTAAATGGTTTTTGTTTATTTGGCAGGGGTGCTGGATGTATATTTTTTTTCTAGTTCCTTTCCCAGAATATCTACCTCCTAACAATTTTTTTTTTCCTGGCACAGAGTGGAAAACAATACTGGATTCATGTTCTTAAACACGCACGCACGCACACACACATGCTCAGCAGCTAGGAAAACACGGCCGGAACTTCACCGACTACACGCAGAGTTGGAACATGCGCCGCCACCGCGCCCACTCGTTCGGTTGAACACTCCTCACATTCTGTACTTTGGATACAGCTACAAGGATGGAGTGCACTTGGTGCATTCTCTTCAGGTGCCTTTTAGACACTAATTTTACATATCCACGCATAGTCTAGAGCCGGGGGAGTTCTTTTTATGCAACTGTGGAAGCTCAAGACGCGTAGCCTTTAGCAATTGTTTGTCATCCAGGGTCACACACCTCTGTGCACGGAACCCAGTGCATCGCCAAGGGTCTTCCGATAACACCACCCGTCTGTAGATGAATATCCACGCCATCGAAAGTTACGAAACACGTTAGCGACAGACCCCATGAACAGGATGAAGGTTTCTTGTTCGGAGTCGGAAATGGGTGGTTTTCTGTTTATAGAGTCCGGTTGGGTTGGGGTTCTGAGGCGGACCGTGAAATGTCCGCGTCAGGAGCGTGCGGGGGTGCGAGAGCCTTTTCCCCGTCGATTCGGAATCTGTAACATCACTTGTGAAATTCACGTCGAGTGTGTACCTGCGATTTCCCAAGGAAAGTCTGTGTGAGGTTTTCCCAGTGAGTCAGGTATGCACGTGGGCATGTAGATCTAAGCGATGTGGGGAGGAATATGGCAGCTACTTGCCCTGTTGTCTTTCCCCACAAAGGGTTTGCACTTGCCCAAGTCATGGTGGCAAAGGCAGACAGTTCGCTGCCAGACACCTGCTTAAATATACAGAAGGGCTCCAGAAAGTTGCACCGACTCTTGACGGCATTCGCTGCCCCAAATTGCAAGAGTTGGGGGGAAGACTTTGTTCCCAGGTGCAGCAGTTTGACGACATTTTCAATCATTTTAACAATCGCTTGATCCCTTCTGCGTATTTAAAATTGGAAATAAAATTTAACATCAACCCCAAGAAATAAAGCCGAAAGCATCATAACCCTGAGATTTGTGCACTGTCACCAGTATAAGATAAAAACACAGTTGGAGTATTAGCTTTAGTAGCATTTGATGTTTTTAAAACCTGGTGAAGTGCTCACACTATGACCAGAAACATCAGTGTCCTGGGGAATACGAGGCGACCGCCCCACGGAGGACACGGTCCCAAGGCCACTACAGAGTGGGCGGCGTGGGTTTTTTTACGTTTTGTTTCTCTGTGATATGTATTTCTGGATGTTCTAAGCCAGTCATAACTTACAAAATGAAAATACGTATTAATCTTAAAACAGAGTCTGGACTCCCGGTCCCCCACCCCCCTCACCGTGGAAGTAGCCAGGCTGAGTGTTTTCAAACTTAAAAATTATCGCCAGAAGAAATTCCGGTCCATGACGACAGCCGCGGAGACATGATAGGCGTCCGCACACGGGGGTGCTTTCCGATACCCGCGGACAAGGTGAGACGTGTGCACTGTAGAGAAATGCCCGACTGTTTGCCCCGAAATCGGAGCCACGTCCGTAACTTCCCGGGGGCGCTTGGCACCCGGGCTCCGCTCTGAAAAGGCCACACTCGGCCTGGTTCTGTTGTGCAGCAACTTTGCTGTAGTTGATCCCCGCAATTTAATGATGTTTTCAAGATCTGGCCAAGTGTGTGTGTGTGTGTGTGTGTGTGTGTGTGCCCGTGCGCTGGAGGTTATGAAACTACATCAAGCAAGAACTCTCTCCCCAGCGTAGACTGTGCGAGACGCCATCCTGAGATCTGTTCTGATGTCCACGTGTTGCTTTTAGGGAGACACATCATTTTTTTTTTCAAAACTAGGTATTTCTAAGACTAGAGGTTTGATTGGAAGGTTCATCACTTTCTGTACTGTTTATGTACTTTACGTGTATGGACACATATATACACGTGTACAGGAATGTTCCTTGTTTTCTGTTTAATGTAGACCCTTTCCCTTTATTTTAATACTGACACGGGAGCAGACGCGGACACATTCACAGACTTGAGAGAGGGCAGCCCGGCGGAGGGACTGTGGGCGTGTGCAGCTGTGAGGTATTTAAAGCGTGCGCCGTGGTGATTTATAGGTAACACTGTGCAAGGACCCTCCTCGCCCAGCTAATTACCACACAGCCGACTGTGTCAAATACTGAGACTCAAGATTCACCCCTGACATGTAAACTAACAAATGGGAAGCAACAGAGAAAACGTACCTGACGTTAAATGTGAGGTGACTGTGTTTGGATTGAAAAACAATGTAGCTGTGAGGTTTCCAGAAACATTGTATGTCATTTTTCATGAGTGACAGCATCTCAGTGAAAGGCTAGGGGATGACGCCACTGCAGTGTATTCACTGGGTAGGATGGCAGTTACCAAATACACTGTCCTGGGGGGTGAGACAGGGCGGGGGAGGGGCGATTCCTACGGAATCTCACCCCCTCCCCCAGGCAAAAAATAAAAAATAAACTTGAGTTCATTAGATTTGCTTCGTGGACTATTTTGGGACATAAAACCTGGGCTTCTCCAAGTCTTCGTTTTAATGTCTTGAAGTCAAAATGATGTTTTAAAATCTTAGTAAAACAGGGTACCGAGGGAGAGCACAGCTGTGTTCTGCTCAAGGTGAACACGCCGGTCCAGACCACGACGGTCAGACAGGTGTGCAGTGTGAGTACACGTACATACGTGCGTTCTGCACACACATCGCGTTGGCACCGACGTAGAAGCCTCGGGGAGATGAGTTCGTCATGTGACCGTTTTGAATGCACCTGTGGAACGAAGTGGCAAGTGTCTGCGAACATCTAGCCTGCATTGTAACCAAAGGCATTTTTACCTTTTTGTACAGATCTCCCGACGCCCACGGGGGTGTTGGGTTCTCATAGACGAAATGACTGCCCTCAAGGCTGCTGGGTTTCCTGTTTTAAGTACGTTGTGCAGCTGAAATAACTCGTAGCCCCCCTGAAGAGAGGTGGCATGAACTGCTCCCGGCTGGGAAGGTCGTGAGCACCGAGCCCCTGTGCTGTCTGGTGTACCTGAAATACTCTGCAGCCCTGGGCGCCGACACAGCCCCTGGGTGACCGACACAGTCCCTGGGCGACGACACAGTCCCTGGGCGACCGACACAGTCCCTGGGCGACCGACACAGTCCCTGGGCGACGACACAGTCCCTGGGCGACCGACACAGTCCCTGGGAGCTGACACAGTCCCTGGGCGACGACACAGTCCCTGGGAGCCGACACAGTCCCTGGGCGCCGACACAGTCCCTGGGCGACTGACACAGTCCCTGGGCGACTGACACAGTCCCTGGGCGACGACACAGTCCTCCAGGAGAAATTACCGGAGGACAGGACAGGCACTGCAAAGCGTTGGCCAGTATCGAGGCTGGGTTTGGGGTCCAGGGGAGTAGATTACATTCTTCTTTTTGCTTTTGTGTATATTTAAAATTTTCCACAGTATAAAAGTCTCGAACATGTGCTTCCACAGGAGTGTGCTATTTGCAGAGTCGGTGACTTTCGGGCTGGTTTTCAATGTGACAGTGACGTTCTAACTCCCCCCCCCCAAGACCTGTGTGAACTGTCAACGAACTGCACCAAACTGCAGGGATGGGGTGCCACGGGTTAGAGAGGAGTGGAGTCCGGCCCAAGGTCAAGGTCGGCATTGTCTTCCTGTTTCTTCACAGGAAGGGCCTTGATGGCCCTTGTTTATATCACGCTGTCTCGTGTTGGTTTTATTGCAAAGTCTGTGGTGTCTTTAAAGAAAAGTACAGACAGACGAACAGACAAACCCTGGTTCTTTCTAGAGGTGAAGCTGAGGGCATAAAACAAATTAGCGTTGTGGATTTTGATAAAAAGTATTTAATTTGGTGACAGGCAAAAGGTGAAGCCATTTTAGAAACGAATCGAGGAGTTAATCACGTCCGTGGTATATTTCATGCACGTGTTGAGTTCTACTGGACAAGAACTTGATTTTGTTTCTAAAATACTCGGTGAATCCTGCGATTGATAAAATGTATTGCCACGAATTCCAGATTATGTCTTCTGGGTTATCTACGATATACGGACTCATTCTATATCAGGAATGAAATTTGAGTTTCTAGAAACCACACGTTGAAAACCTTTTTCATCTCTGAGATTTAACTGAATGCTCACGAACTAATGAAAACTTTTGTTGGCCTTTCTTACCGAGACATTCTGAATTCGGGTGATTTAGAAAGCTGACTTATTCCATTATGTGCTTTTCAGAGATGACACCAACGACCAGGTTTTGTCTTAAAATGCTGCAAACTCTCTCGTTGGGGTTTTGGGATGAAAAAGACTTTCTGCTCACATTGCGCGTGTTGATTTTACTCCGGACTAAGCCAGGATTTTATCCCATTCTTCTGGTGTGGAGTTGGAAGGGAGGTGAGGCCTTTTACGAAATTACCTTTGAGCACCCTTAACACACATTGTAGTCACCACCTCCTTCTCTGAGGTCCCATTGTTCCTGTTACATTTACATTCAGTGGAATCTGACCTTAATTGTTGAAAACATCTGGGGGTATTCTACACTTGCTTTAGAAAAGAAATTCTCGTAGTTGTCTGTGAGAATTTACTGGGTGGGATGATATACATTCTGTCCTAAAAGAGCAAAAAAACTATTTGCCACATTTCATAATTGTGTAGAAAGCACACCCTTTAACCCCGTCAGCCACAGCTCCTCTGGAGGAAACAATCCTTAAATTTAGGGAAATGGACCATTTCCATGGTCCTCTCTCCCCCACCCCAACTCTAATGAAAAGTCCGATTTTTATATTAATGTCTCATGTACTTGGGGAAGCCGAGGAGGCCTGTGCTGCTTTGGTGGGTCTGCAGCCTGTTACGTTGTGTGGACATTGTAGCCAAAGAACCTGCAGCAGACAGACTGTATTGAATCACTAGCACCGTTTTCCTGTAGGGGTAGTGAGATGGTTGTTTAAAACACAGCCCCTGGATCTTTATGTACACCTCTCTGTTTAAGATGAATTGAGCATTTCGAGTAGCAAGTCGTAAACATTTTACTGACTTGGGCTCTCTTGCTAAATGCACCGGAATGAAACATTATTTTGTCTCAGGACCGTGATAGAGATGCTAGTGAAACTGTAACTGTAACATCTGTGAACCATCTACCTGGGGAAGTCTCTCAGATTCTCCTTGGCCATTGTTACAAATTCTCAAATGTAAACAGTACTCGTGCTAATGGGGGGCGCTGCAGAGAGCTGGGGCTCCTGTTTACAACCTCTGAGATGGCCGGTGGACAGGTGTCCTGGTCCACGCGCGGGCGTTTCTCCGGGATGCCGATAGGTCTCCTTGGCTGAGAACCACGCATCTTGCCCGGAGAGCAGGCAGCTGAGGGAGGTGTTGCTAAATAGGACTTTTCAGCTTTTTCTTATTTCCCAGTCAAAACAGTCTGGTCTCTTCCAAGATTTTTGCGATCTCGGGGCTTAAGAGGTGTTTTTCTTTCCAGAAATTTTTTCCAGACCAGACTTACTACACTCGTGTAAAGATTTGTAGTTTGTTACGTTACGGGTGGAAACCACGCTCGCGCGATGGAAACCCCCGTATTTCTTACGGCTTCCCTCTGGGTCCCGGGGAGGTCGGGCTGCCTTAGCTAATGAGCAGGAAAGAGACAGAGAAGCTGCTCGCTTCCCCATCCCTCCGACCCGTGGCCCTGCCTTTCAATGACATCAGTGACCAGACACAAAAGCAAAAAGCCAGGACCAACAAAACAGCACCTAGGATGGGACGGAAAAGTTTCTCGGAGTCAGAGAAATGGAACCTAATTCTAGATCAAAAAGGAAAAAAAAAAATTCCTGGGGGGGGGAAAGGGGGAGTGACGCTTCTTAAAATAACGAGGAGCGAAAACATGGTATGGGGGGGGACAGTTTCCAATTGTCCTTTTATGAGATGGTTTTTCTGTGGGTCTCCCTGGAAGACCTCTGCAAACCTCTTCTCATAAAGAAAAGACCAAATTGGCTGAATGAACAGTTTATATTTGTTATGTGGATTGCTATTTGCGAAGAATAAGCTAAGCCCAATGAATCCATTTCGCCGAGGAGGGCAGAGTGGAATTGAGCTGGTCCCAAACGGGAGAGATCAATACTTTATTTACCAAGACAAGCCCTAAACATTAGAGTCGATAGCTGGTTATATTTTTTTATCCTCACTTCTCTGTTTAGGTTGATCTTTATTCAGATAGGCAATAGCTTTATCTTAATAAAATTTCTTTAATTATAGATCAGTCTTAAAATTCAGACTCCTGGTCATGGGCTATGAGGAAAAGCTGTTCTTTGATGTGAGTTGGGGGCCTGTTGTAAAATTGGATACAAATCCGTGATCTAACCGTACGTCTTGATGCTCAGGCCGCGGTGTGTGATGCAGCCAGAATGCCATGAGCAATGAAGCTGAGTCATCACAATGCAAAGCTAACCTGTTAGAGGCAACAGTGTTCTTGTGCTGACTTGCTGCCTGTAATCCCATCTCCCTGTATGAGTTTCTGGACTGTGTCAGATTGTTGTTTGGCGTGAGGAACCTGAATCTGAGCAGGTCGAAGATCCGATGCGAGCGATGACATTTAAAGAGAAAAGTCGTGAAAACGCACCGCCCGGGAAAGACGCGGTCGATGACACTGTTGGTTTGGGGATCAGACGCGCGGCCCCGAGCCCTGCACGCGTGCTGGCTGAGGAGGAAGGTCCGCCCTTCTGGACGGTTCTGCACGCGGTGGCGATGGTGAGTGCCTTTACTCTGACGTCGACTCGTGTGTCTGGACGGCCGCCACCTGCAAAGGCAAACTTGGCTTCCTAAGGCCAGGTGGGGGCCACGTGCCGGGACAGCTGTCCGCCCTTCCGGAGGGTTCTCGGGACCTGGGAGATGCACGGGTAGGCGGACACGCTGGTGGACACACAGGTAGAGTTGCACGAGTATAAACCTACACACACAGGTAGAAATGGAGTCGGAACACGGGGGAGTCTGCCGAAGCTTCCGCTGCAAACAGTGGACAGCTCAGAGAAACGGTGTCTAGAAATGTCTTTAGTTCCTCAAAAGAAAAAACAAAACAAAACGCATTTCTAGGTGCACCATGTTGCTTTCCAAGATGTTCCAGAAAGAAAAAAATAAGTGACAGCACCTAGAAAGTCACCTACCTCACTAAACATCTCCGGCCCATTCGGAAGGCTCTGGAAAACAAGACCACCAGGAGGTTTCGATGGGAATGTATTGGAATCTTATTATAATGTGGCTCGTCGTTACGGAACACAGATCTCAAGAAGCCATGGGTCACAAGGGTGTCCCCTAAAACAAACAACAGGATCCAGTAAAACCCAACGCAGCAAGGGAACCAAACACAGATGCACAGAGAGAGCCCTGTCTCAGCGCGAGGTCGGAGAGAGTTCCCGAGCTGGGGGTGGTCTGAGAGCCGCCCCCCCCAGGCCAAGTGCCTTCCCTGGAGCCTATGCAGATTTGAGCCCCTTTTCCTTCTGGGTATGGTGACAACCGCTGTCTAAGGGACGCAGGTACAGAGTGACGCGTTCAGGGCCCTGCGTCAGCTCAGCTCGTTAAGCCGGCTGAGGCTCAGAAAGAGTCTGTAAGTGATCAGTTAAAATATTAACACCCCTTTCAAACCTCACGAATAGCTCCTAGCGTTTCCTGTGAAGCCTCAAAGCTGCCTCTGAACAGGTGGGAACGTCTCCACAGGTGTTCTCTGATGGCGGGAGGAAGGTGACAATCATCCTCGAGGTGACACCGCTGTCAGCAGAGAGAGAGAGATTCCTGTTGGGTGATTTTCATTGTCTGATAGCCACGATCTCTGTGGCTTTGTTGTTCTCCTTCAAAGGTGCTGATTAAGGCTCCTTCATGCCCTGTGGTTTGCAGAAGAAACCAAAAAATAGACTGTTTGGTCCCCATTAAAAACGGGGCCTATTGAAAGCAACATGGTATTAAAACTGACTGAAGTCTGACCCAGGGTTCCATGTGTTATTAAATTATCAGGCCTTTGGGTGAGAATACACCCTTCGACTCTTTATATGCAATCAAAGCCCGCGATTAAATATTAACGTCCTGAGATTAAAGGGCCACTTGAATGATGAGCAGGAGGCGCGACGAGCTAGGCGCATTGGGGTGTCCTTGGTGGATGCCGAGGCCTCGACCCCCGTCGACAACGAGGACCCCGAGGACCCCGAGGCTGGGGGTCGGCCCTGCGCGGGTTCCGTCCTGGCTGCCCGAGGTGTCCCCTTTCGCGCCAAGCCACAGAGGGCTGGGTGATGCGCGAGTCCACCCACTGGTTAACTGCAGGTCCTTTGCAGAGGCAGAAGCGGTTTGGAGAGGGGTTCACGTTACAATAAACACCCTCAAACTAAGCCGAATAAACTCTGCTGGTGTTCCTTACTAGTGGGTGGGATCACTGGACCTGAGAAAGGAATCATTTTTAGAAAATGTTAAGGAGTGCGTTTCCCCCCCTTTTTTTTTTCTTCTTTCTAATCCTCACTTGAGGATATTTTTCCATTTATTTTCAGAGAGAGCAGGGGAGAGAGAGAGAGAGAGGAACATCGACGTGAGAGGGTTGCCTCCCACACAACCCCGACCAGGGCCGGGGACCGAACTGCAACCGAG